AAAAAAAATTGATGACGATAATGAATGAGTGGCAAAACCAATCTTTCACTGCCCAGCAGATTAACGCGCACCAGCAGTGCAAATAATGTGATTCAGTGTCGTGAAAACAAAGAAATGATCGCACGGAGACGAAAGATCGTCAATTGAAAATTTAATTATGCGAGCAAAAATTCACCTTTAGACTCTATTTTTAGCACATTAAATTCATAATCATTGATCCTCTTCTCCATCATTCTCCCACCCTGTCGCTGAATCCCATTTTAATCTACTTTTTCACACTAATTTATCTACGGTTCTTTGTTATTCCCATCTTCCTCACGGTGAGAAGACAAACCGATGTGCGAGCGAGAGAATTCTGTATGGAAAATACCTCCGCAAAGACCTCAGATGTATAAGACTTTGCCCCACAGTCGCGAGAAGAAGAAAGAATCATCAAAATTAAATTACATTTCGTTAGTGAAAATGCTTCAAAGTACTCCAAGTTTATTCATTTGTGAACAACACAAAATGAACATTAAAAAAGAGAGACACAAGAGAGCACACATAAGGAAAAAAAAGAAGAAGCTTAACAATACAGGAATTTCTTAATTTACTCCGGGAGAGAAGAGAGACTGAGGAAACCTCAGAATGTTTCATTCATTCACTGATATCGGGTTTTGACGGATTTTTTCTTTCTCTCTCTTGTGCCACAGAATTTTTTTTTTGCATACGTCGAGGCACAACAATGAAATTTTGCCTCAAGTTGGCAAAAAAATACACCTCTCGTCATTAGTAATAACAAAATTCACTTGCAATGGCATTTTCTTGTCTTCATATTCTTATATATACTCCTTCGCTGACTGAAAGTAATACAGCATAATCAAATTTTCATAAATAAATACATCACACAAAAAGTCACTCATTTGCAAAATTTCCCTCCTTAAGACACTCTTTATAATACACTAAATAGAGGGAGAAAAAAACTCATTTCAGTTCACATAAATGAAAGTCCATTGCTAAAGTGTTGGGCTTCACGCTAAGCTAACCACCTTTTTACCCATTGTTCTCAGAAATTTGTCTTTACGCACTTTAATGAGAATTTGCGTGATCTTATACCTCTAATTTCAGCTTTTCCCGTCGTCATTCGTGAAAAGAGACTCGCGATAAGGTCTCCCATTTTGTTGTGTAAACGGCCTGAAAGGCTGAGGGCAATCTCTGTGCTATATTTGTACACATGTTCGCTTATCAGCACAGACTTATTGGCTTTCTCCTCAAGCACCCCAGCAAATACAGACCGTCAAAATAATGTCACGTGTCACCTACTTTGATAAGAGAGCACTTTGATAGTGATAAACTCAAGAGAAATGCCATTAAAGTGTAGGGATAGGTCAGGTTGAAGTTTCTCTCTTGCGGAGGTAATTGAATTTCGCTACACTGACGCATGACTAGTGATAATGCGTATTGGGAAAATCCAAATCTTCCTATTGCATCCTATTTGAACCAGTCGGAATCCGACTATGAGAAACTCTTGCATGCATAAATCAGTGAGTAATTCTCTAGATTCAATGAATCAACTTCTTCAAAAATCATTAAATCCACCACGAATGATTGTGAAAATATTAAGACAACTGGCAGTTTCCATTCAGTTATTCAGCCCAAATGATAAAACATTTTGGCATTTCGCTCACACTCAAGCAATATTCGATACGGTCTTCGATTTCTCAGAACTCTCTGTGGCATTACTTAAAGTGGCTTCAGCCACATTGACTGCAAGTGAAACTGATGAGTGTGTGATAATACAGCATAACAGAGCCGCTTCGGCCTCAAGACACACCAACAGTCAAAGAGTAGAAATGCTATATGGGTTTTTCCACTTATGCGAGAGAGAGAAGTTGAGCAGACAAAAAAAGATTCAGCGCAATTAAAACTAAAAACTCTCTCACGAAGTTTATCAATGAGATGTGATTGCAAAAAATTTCCACGATAAAATCATCAATTTTCTCTCTCTTTCTGGGCTCGAGCGCTCCTTTCGCATAAAATCAGGCATAGCAATTTCGGTTTTGTCTGTGTGTCTCCATTGAATACTCGTGTGTGATTCACATAGTTGAAATTTCCCATGAGAATTATGCAATTTTAAAACTGCGAAAAGAGCCACTTTCTGCGATAGAAGCGCGCAATGTTGCCTCAACATGCATACATATATTCCACATATTCTTTTCTCATGCCCAAAAAGACCTCTTATTATCACAAACTCAAATTCAGAGATTCTTATTAAAGTGTGACGATTAAAAAACGAAAGAATTTCAATTACTGAGAGAATAATAAAAATTATTTTCACTGCCAGCAAGCAACAAGAGATTGTATGTAATTTTACGAATAATCTTTCCACGAAATTTGTCTCACATTCAATTTCTTGCTCTCCTCTCCACCTCCTTCTCTCTCTCTCTGTCTCTGATCCGCGCACTCCTCTATTGGAGTCGAAAATTTTATATCAACACCTTTTTCTTGTGTAAAAATACCTTCAGAGGAGAGAGAGACACACCATTGAGAAACTCAACACACAGAGCGCCTTTTCACCTCCTCTCGCCTCGCCGTTCCTCTATTCTTCATCCACCCATTTTTTTCCTATTTCTTTTATTTCATTAAATTCACCTTAGATCCCAAACGATACACTTACGTATTAGAGAGTCTCTCTCGTACACATAGAAATGTGATTAAAGTCTTTTGTGGTTGGATAATTCGTGTACCAACTGAAATTGTTACTTCTTAACACAGAAAAGAGAGGCAAAGCAGCAACAACAACAAAAAATCCCACTCTATATGGGCACCAACGGAGCGGCTGTGGTGGGACGGAGAGGTGGATGGTCGAGTGAGTGAGATGGATAAAAAGATTTATCAGAGAAGTCAATCAGCGTTACACGAAATTTGTGTAACGTTTTCTTCATTATATGCTAAATAATGATAAATTGTATTAGGTGTATAGGCCTTTTTAAACTCTACCTCATACATCTGCTCAATTTTACCATTGACTCTAATTCCCAAATAGAGATTAATTCTCCTGTATTTAGTGATTTTCCTTCATATCCTCCTAAGTACAAAAGTACTCTCAATGTTTACTCTTTCGTCAATACAGACGAGTGAGGCCGTTATGGACAGAAAACTCTCCAATTACTCTAATGGGAATATCATTCTGAAAGAGTTAATTAACACAAGTTCAATTCACACTCCACACTAATTAAATTACACCTCAACGCACTCTCCTGTTCAAAACAACCCCGCTCTTCGCTAAATCCACACAGAAAAGATTACCGAGTGGAAGCTGAAAAAATTCCCCACAAATTCTTAACAATCATGAAAACATCATGTTTTCCTCCTGACTTATCGAGAATATTTAATAAGAGTTATTTCTTTGATTTGATTTTGATGATTTCACAAAAATCTCTCACCACTGCTTCAAAACCTTCTCATAGTGAGTCGATCGTAGTGCAACGCCTCAACTAAAAATGGGTTTCAGAGAAAATTACATCACAGCATCATGATTTTCATGATCTTTTATCATGATGTCAAAATTTTCACAGAATTTTGAACATCAATTTCCCTGCAATACATCTCTCCCTCTCTCTCACCCCACCGCCCGCCTTTTCCCACCCAAACCGACAGCTGAATGGGAAAACAATGAATTGTAATGAACATAATATTTCATTTGGATCTTTCAACATATTTGCCTGATATCTCGGCCTCTGTCGACATATAAGGAAAAAAAAGTGAAGAAGTGCCTCAGAAAAGCACTCAAAAGCATTATCATTAAAAAGTATAAAGTTTGCTATCATTTTCGGGTGAAGAAGTACAAGAAGATGAAAAATTACGAATTTCCGCTGGTTTTTTTTTCGCCGCTCAACTCTTTGAAAACTCACAGTCGTGAGTTGCGGCAAACCTCCACTGGCCATTGTGCGTTTCTCTTTCACGTCAGAAATTCAATTATCAGCTCAAGACCCACGAGATTCATCATCCCACGCATTTCTTTTATCCATGCAAATTCACGATATGCAAATTGATGGAGAATTACGTCGTTAGACTCTACTTTTTTCCACCATCAGATCTTTGTTTTAGATTTTGTCACTATATGACAAGATCCGTGTTTCTCTCCATTCTATTGATTATTATGCCTCCACTTTATAGCTCTGCTAAAAACCACCTCTGAAAAGCAGTTCAAAATTGAGAAAAAGGGTTTCATCGAGAGCCACGATCAAGCACTCTTTTGAGCGTCTTGCACAACAACACTTTCATAGGTATTTCTTGCGAGAATCAATTTGTAATGTGCCATTATGATCTTTTGCAATTCTGCATAAACCACAAAGCGAACTTTTGTATACTACATTTTACTTGCTGAAGATGAGTCGTGATGCAAATAGCGTAAATAGTGATATTAAACCTATTAAACCATCATTACAAGCGACCCTTATCAAACTTGAGAAATCACAGACGATAAATTCACTGTAATTTCTATGCAACGAGGATAAATATTTGATTTCTTCAAAATATTTCTCAAATCTACACAAGAAAATAGATTCGCAGCAAACTCTGGACAAATGTAATCAATTGAATCGATAAGGCAAGAGCGCCAAAGCCTGAGATTGCGCTATAATCATACTTTTTATATATATGATTTTAGAGAACTTAACCTGTATGTAAAAATGTTTTCCGACAACAAAACATTTTTTGTAAGTTACCATAATGAGCGTGAAACACATTTTTTGCTCCAAACATAATCTTTTCTAGCACTAAAGCTTGGCTAATTTTTGCTATTTCTTCATGTCGCATAATTTAACTAAAAATAATGTGCATTATCCAGATTTTGAGACGTTTTAAACTTGGGAATAGATTGAAATCAAAATCGAATTTAATACTCGCATCCTAAAGTGTTGAGAAAAGCCTTTTATGCTCATCTGACTGAATTTAGTAGGCGCATAAAAAACAGCTCAAATTCTGTGTGATATAAAAATGCTGGAGCGAGCACTCACCGTGATTGAAAGACACTGGAAAATCCTGTCGGGGATGTCGTGCGAGCCACCATTGGTGAGATGATGCGACTTGGCCTCATCCTTGTCGCTATCAATCATCGCCTCGACATCCCGGCGATCATCTTGCTTCGCCACGTGATGATCGCGGTTGTTGGTCGCCTCCACCACCGTTTTTCTGGTAACTACATCCTCGCCCTCCGGCCTCCGCTCGTCCTCCGCCTCCTCTGTGGCATCGTTCTCCTTCCCCGGCCAGGCGGGATAGATGGACAGCTCACCCAACTCATTATCACTCACAACAGATAGACAGAGGCGGCACACTTGGTAGAATTTTGGCGGTACATTACACATTTTCACTGCGGCATAACACAATCAATTTCCACACACACAGGCTGAATTTAGGTCGAATTTCCACAGAAGAAAAACCGTGCCAGTTTTGCAGTGAATTTCCACTGCAACTGAGAGGAGACAGCGCGGATGGACTGTGTCTCCTTTACGTAATTCACACCGCGGCTGGGGGCTCTCCTGACTCCTTCCCCGAGCACAGCACAGAGTGCTTTTCACTGTTTATCCAGGGCACCGATTATCTCGCTTATCCTGCCGATGAGTCACTGGGGCCCCGCGATGCGTGCTGCCAGAGTCTCCACGGAATACTGAACACAGTCTATCGAGATTCACTGCTCTCCACCGCGAGAGATGCACATGTGTGTGGGTTTGGCTGATTAAGTGGACTCTCTTGGGTATATTTCTGACATCTGCAGCGGGATTTTGGCCTTCCTTTGTTCCACGCGAATCTGCTTGGGATTATCACAAGATCTCCGGGAGACGCAGTGAGTCACTGGTCGGCGTCGCCTACAATCTGCAAGTCTCCGGGGGCCAGGACAAGGCACTACTCGCAGCCTCGAGGGCTCTCTCTCGCTCTATGAAGAAATAACGCCGAGATAACGCGAAGACGAGAGATTCCGTGTGAGTCTTTGACAGACATCTGCCGCTTCACCTTTCATTTCCTCACACACTCACACCAGCCAGAATCTCCTTCGCTCGCCCAAGAGATTCTTTGTGTTTTTATCTCCTCGCTGCCGTCTTTTATCAGGGATTTCACACACACAGCGTCGCGCTTTTTCACTCTGTCTCACATTCACAAACCTCAGCCACACTCGATTTTTCTCTGCCACTTTTCGCCGAACCCCACGCGTTCACGCCACCCAGCGCACCACCAGTCACAGGGCACTGTCCTTAAAACTACAAATAAATAGGTCGGGATGGTGCTGGAGCTTGATTTAAAGTAATATTTTACAAAGCAAATATCGCAAACGACAACTGCACAAAGCCATCTCGCTGAATGGCTGCACTGTGACCAACACCACCATTTCCATTGCCGCCGTTGGCAGCCCTGCCGCGATGGGCGACGCAAATCTGCCGCGGCACGGCGCTGCTCGCTTCCCGCACTTTTTTCAAATTGGTGCCCAACTTCGCCGCCAGCATTTATTCAAAAAAATAAACATTCTTCTCACACACTCTCCACAATTTTCTTCATGCGTTGCACGTCTCTCGCGTAGGTTCTACAGCAGCCGCCTATAATTTTCGCGCCTAGCGAAATCCACTCCGGTACGTAGTTCTCCAGAGGTCTGCACACTTCCTTGCCCGTCCAGCCGTCTTTCACGGTGTAAGTCTCGCCAGAGTTGGGATACACCACCAGTGGAATTTTCTGCGCTTCTGGGTAGCCAGCGTTCACCGCCTTGAAGAGTGGCGTCACGATCCTGGGATTGACGCAATTTGTGCCAATGGCCAGAATATTGCTTGACTCCTTGGCCTTGGCCCACAAATCTCTGCAGGTTTCAGCAAAGTTCTCCCCATGGGCGATTGTCTCCTCGTCCTTGCACTGAAACGACAGCCAGTACTTCACATCTGGGTACTCCTCAGCCATGATCTCCAGCAGAGCCTCCGCTTCCAGGCGACAAGGGATCGTCTCAATGGCAAATCCATCCACTCCGGCCTCCACAACAGCCTCAATTCGCACGCGATGCCACTTCTTGATTGTCTCTGCATCCACAGCGTCCGCGTACTCACCAGTATACTCAGAGCCATCGTGCAAATGAGCTCCGTAGGGCCCAATTGACGCCAAGATCCAAGGAACCTCCTTGGGCAACTGAACAGCATCAGCGAGAAACTTATTCCTCGCCAAGTGCGCCAAGCGAACAGTAGACTTAATCAGCTCCACGCTCTGCTCCTCATCCAATTCCAGGTGCTCCATGAAACCCTCCACACTCGCCTGATAAGTGTTCGTGATGATGGCATCGGCTCCAGCTATACAAAATGCAAGAATATCATTCCAGCTTCTGTTCCTCTTCATTTGCATAAATGATCGGGAATGAAAATCATTTTCAGATTGAAATTATAAAATAGAAATTGTATGTAAAGTATAATTCTGTTTTTTTTCATGTGTTTTGCGTTACATCGTGATACTATGTGTTTTTGATGAATGTTTTGAATAAATATTTTCTACGTCAGCATGAAAAATGTGCACTTGATGAAAAGCATTGATAAATTGCAGGAAAACGAAATTTTGATAAGCCTGGATTTTCTCTCTCATATCTCTCAAACTCAACTCTCGTGAAGAGTGATAAAAAAGCAGAAAAAAATTGCATCATCTCGAGCGGATTTCGTTGGTGTCGTGGGAAAATATAAACAAACTATTTAAAGAAAATTCGCGCACGATTTTCACTCAGTCGCGAGAGACAAGTTTATGGCGGTCCGAGTGATAAGATCGTGGCTCACCTTGAAGGAAGTCCAGGTGTGTCTTGACGATGGCCGAGGGATTCGTGGAGTTGAATCTCGCACTCCACAGCGGATCGCCGTCCACACTGTGGCCCACATGAACAGTGAGCTGAGTGGCGAAGCCGCCGTCAATCACCATCAGTTGATTTAGCACCATTCTAGCGCACGTTCGGGGCGAGGAAAAGCGCGAGTGAAGCTGCTGGATGGAAGTGGTTTTGGCTTTATCGCAATGGAAACTGTATTAATGTGAGTTTATTAATACCAACGAAGCACGAGAGTGACTACCTTGAACTATATGTTGCGTCCAACAGAGACAAAGCGAAGCCCACGGATGGATTCAAGAAGTTACACGGATTTCAGCCTTTTCACAAGACTCTTTTGCAATTGAGCGTTGGCCGATTGAAGATCGCACGACTAAAATTTTATTCAATTTTACTTTCAGAGAAAAGCTCTCGAGCGTGCTCAGCTGGCCGAAGTCTCAGCGCTGACTGATACGATAATTCAATTGGACGCCTCTCACTGAGTCTCCCCACGCTCCTCGCCAGGCCTAATCAGTTGGCGGCAATTGTCTCGCGACAGAGTCAAGGGTCTCCCGTAGTCGTCTGATATCATCCGCGTAGTTCCTGCAACAGCCGCCTACGTATCGCACACCCAGGCCAATCCACTCCTGGACACGACTCTCCAGAGGCTGCTGAGCTCGGTCGCAAATCCACTTCCTGTAACAAAGCATCGGACTTGAAACCCTCACATCTTCTCACACATGCCATCATCGCTTACTTCTCCACCACGTCGTACGTCTCCCCGGAATTGGGATAAGCAATCAGTGGAATTCGATCCTCTTCCTGGTTGAGACCTGAGAAGAGCGGCGTGACTCTGTCCGGGTGGGTGCAATTCACTCCAATAGCCAAGAAATTCTTGCTCAAAACACCATCTTCTTTCACCTTCTTCCAGATTCTCCGCACAGCTTCCTGGTAATTCTCCCCAGCTGCCGTCTCTGAGTCGCTTCGACATTGGAAAGAGAGCCAGAACTTGACATCCGGGAAGTCTTCTCGCATCAGATTCAACAGGATTTCTCCTTCTACAGCACTCGGCAGCGTCTCAATAGCCAAGGCATCGACTCCAGCCTCGATGATTACTGATATGCGCTTCTTGTGCCACTCTCGAATCACTGAGGGACTCGTGGAGACCACATAACTGCCCGTATATTCCGACCCGTCAGCCAGACACGCGCCATATGGGCCGATTGAGCCAAAAACCTGAGGAACAGAGCCTTTCTCAGATGTCCTCGCAAACTCATCTCTGGCCTCCTTCGCAAACCCCACAGTGTCCTGAATCAGGCTGATAGCCGCCTCCTCAGACAATCCCAGATGTTTCATGTAGTTCCCAATTGACGCCTGGTACGTATTCGTCCGGATTAGCTCGGCGCCTGCCTCAAGAAAGTCTCTGTGGACTTTCTTCACAGCCTCCGGATCTGTTGCATTGAATCTGGCACTCCAGAGCGGATCACCATCCACACGATCCCCAACGTGTTGCGTCAGCTGCGTGGCGAAGCCTCCGTCAATCACAGTTGCCAGTCTTCCCATCGTGAAGTGGTCCCAAATCTGCGGAAAAAGAGATAAAAGTGGAGTGCCAATTTTAGGGCAGTATTGCATCAAGCTTCCTAAATGTGAGTAAAGCCAAAGAACGCTCAATTACCTCCGCTTGAGCTAATGACCTCAGGATCACACAATAAGCAGAATGTTATCTAAAAGCCGGTTGTTTGGTAAGTTGTGCTTCTTTTACTTCAGTACTCACAAGTGTTGTATTTACTTGCAAAATGCGGCGCTAAATATGGTGGTGAATGGGCGAGGCTTTTGAGTGGGTGGAGTTTACAGAACAAGTTTTATTGCCCCAACAAATAACAATCAAAAATATCCTCCCAAAACATCCCACAAGCTTTTCAAACGACCCCTGTTTCTGTACTGATAAGGTGTTGACGACAGCAAATTCATGAAATGCGGAGATATTTTTGGAACTCATCACTCGCGTCCAAGGTTGAGTGCATCACGGAAACGCGTTCTATTGTCGAATGCAATTGCGACAAAAAGTGGAATTTCTTGTCACCAAAACATTGAAATTTTCCACTCGAAATTCAACCTGAAAAACCACCCAAAACCCTTAAATGACAATAAATTATACTCACCAACAGTTGATTTCTCTGCTGCAATGGAGTATCAATCGAACTAATCGCGGAATATTGTTATCTCACGTCTCACAGAGATTACAAAAAAATTGTTTTGCCGTGGAACGCGAAGATTCACGTGCGCTTCAGATGTCGCCGGGATCGCAAAGAAGGGGTGGCATTTTGTATTTCAAATTTAATAACTATCTCATCTCATATGTTCAGCTAGGAAACACATTAGAAATAATTAGAGATAAAATTTGATTAAATAAATACTCATATATGAATTGTAGCTTCACATAGTAACAATATTTTCCATATAAAGTGCATTAGTGTGGGAAGAGATTCATGTTTCTCTCCTCTTATCTTCCATGTCGGTTACTTTCCTATTTATTTACAAAATACATTTTCGGTTCTCTGAATTTTCTTGCATGCTCTTCTCTCTCTACAATTTTTCTTTTTCATATCATAAATACATTGTATATAATTTGTTATCATGTTTCTGTTTAACCTTGCAATGCAACGAAAGGAATGTTATTGACCTTCTTTCTCTTCTTTCGCGAAACAAACTTTTTTTTTGATCTTTCTTCCCTCCTCAAACAAATTATGTGGTACGATCAATAAATATTTCTTGTGATAACTTTGGTACGTTAAACGAAATTGCATTCAACTAGATTGACTGGATTAAAGTAACTCTCTCAGCTCTGAAGTGCATTGAAGCCTATTCTTGAGTGGTTGTACTTGAGCTATGACAAAAATCTACTGAAGAAAATACATATCTTTTCAGCTAATACACTTATTCCTACTAACGTATCTCTCACAATTGCTTAAGAAGCCTTTTAAGATCGTCCACTTGCCTTGGAATGATTTCTATTTGATATTTTTCCACGCTTTTTTGTCCAGAAAATATCACAAAAATTAATTGAGCTTTCTTTCTGCACAGGGTGACTCTGTCCAATGTTGTAAAATGTCCAAAATCTTGTGTCTTTCAGTCTTTCGAACAAAAGTAAGCAAACATTAGTTCTTGAGCAATGCATATAATACTTGGTATCCTTGCAACTTCAATCTCTTGAAATCTTGATATCCGAGACACCAACCAGCTATTTTCGTTGTCTTATTGTTCTTCTCTCTGTTTTGTATATAGTTAAGGCATATTTCTTTTCTTTCAAAGTTCATGTAGTAAAGCAAAAATATGTAGAATCTGTAAGGCAAATGTCCTTTTCATCAAGTCTTTCTCTTTATTTTGGCGTTTCCCTCGATTTTGGACACTTTTTTCCATTGGATTTCAGACGATTTAGCAAAGACAGTACTTGAGAACAGTTTAGCGAAGAGCCACCCTGGTCTTTGAGATGGAAGAAGTTTGAGCTGGGCTTCACTAGGAGATTTCCTGGTAGTTCCAAGAGGCTCTTTTTCAAGAAAATGGATGAGGTCGCCTCTTAAGTGAGCCGAATTTCTTCTCCGCTTCCAGGATCATCTTCTCATTCCGCACCACCTCAAATGGGGTGCACTTGGCCGCGCCCTCTATCTCCTGGTCGGATGGAAAGTCCTCAAAACTCATGTTACTGAAGCCACTCTTCACACCACGCTTCAGGCTCTGGTAGTTGAAGGCTGAAGAGCCCTCATCGGCTAGAGATGCCTTCTTGGAAGTCTCCTTGTTCTTCTTAATCTTCTCCGTGGATTTGGCCTTAGTTTTGTCCTTCAGATACGGGAATTTGCTGCTCTTCTTCTCACTCTTACTTTTCGCCATCCCCGTCTCCAGTTCGCATTCCTCCAGATTCTGACCGTCGTCGCTTGAGAACTTGACGTACTCATTGTCCGCAATGGGCAGCATCGTGTCCATCATCTTGGGTGGCGGAAAGGAGTCCACAGGACGGGATGGGAAGCGCTGAACAGGATCAGCTCTCGTGACGACAACATTATTAACCGTGACCAGAGAACTGGGTTGGTTATTGTTCGCCTCGATGTGCACCACCGATTTCAGGGATTCCGGAAAGGGTTCCGACCCGAACAAGTCCTTTTTCGGCACTTGCGGAGCTTCCTGGACAGGTGGAGCACTGTTCAGCACCGTCACGACACCATAATTGGAGACACTCTGGATGGCAGCAGTGCCAGGATTGAAAGACACCTCATTGAACTGATCCAGAGCCTTGAGCGGTGTGGATGTAATCATTTTTGTCTTCATGGGCGCATTTAGTCGCAGAAAATCATCTTCCGGGATGGTTTCAGACGGAGTGTACTTGGGAAAGAGGTTCCTTTTCGTGGGAAGTTTGCTCTTCAGTGGCAATTTGAAGGGCGCCATGGCGAAGACGTCCTCTTCATCGGCTGTTTTCTCAGCTTCTGCCACTTCAGGAGACGCTTCATCCACATTCTCGGAGTCATAGTCCAGTTCATCATCCAGAAGGAGTGGCTTGTCACCGTACTTATGGATATTATCGTCCTCCTCCTCCGGAGGAGACAACTGATCAGCTTCGGGATGAAGTTCCCTGCGTTTCTTCACAATTTTCCTCCTTGCCGACACAACTCTGCTCACATCGTCTTCATGCGTCGTGACACTCTCGCATTCAGCGTGATAAGCGCTCGAGCCACACGTCTTGATACTCTCACTAATGGCGTCATCCAGACCGCGAATGCGATTCCTCACATCTGGAGCGATTTTCGTCTCAAACTCATCAATCATATCATCTCTCAGATCGCTTGCCGACCCAATGGAGTCCTTGTCGTCATCCTCCCCATCACCAGTCCTTCCCACATCCGTTTCCTTCGCCCCAGCCTCCTTCCCTTTCACCTTCTTTGCCCCCTTGAGCTTCCGCACAATCGGCACCTTCCCCAAGTGACTTTTGTCGACCTTTTGGTACACATTCACTAGCTTCTCCTGGATATTCCCCGCCACAATCTGCTTGAAGCTGATCCTCTTCACCGACTCGCCGCCGGCGAATTCCGTGTCGCTGTCGTCGGACGTGACATAGTTGGACTTGAGCTTTTCATACTTAGTTCTGTCCTGCAGTGGTGTGCGATTGAAGGACTTGTCCGTCTCCCCATTGTCGCTCTCCTCATCGCCATTCTCGTCCCTCCGGAGGCTCGCCTCCTCTTCCGTGTCCAGCAGCGACGCCCTGATCTCACTCGGGGACGCCTGCACATCCGACTGGAGCGTCCATCGCTTGGCTCGGGCTGAAACAAAGTGATTCTTATGCATTAGAAATCAAATTATAGTGCCATCGTGTTAGGGATGCCAGGTGCCGTTCGTTGGGCGGATTTCTTTTATCTGCATCCCGACTATCCCGAGTAGATTAAGAGAGGCAGATTAGTGAGGAGACTATGGTGATAGTCGAGGACTCCTGGCATCCCCACTGGAAAATTCTAACACACAACCCAAAGCGAAGTTGCACTTTTGCCTAATACGACGAACAAATCTACATTGCACACAAAAACTGATCAAGGGGTTAGTCAAGTAAAACCGGGATTAAAGGGGGGTTAACGAGAGTTAGAACACAAATTCCTCCTGCTGACATGAGAAAAAAGATGCTTCTCATTTCAACAGAAAACATATTTTATTAGGAAGATAATTTCTCTGTGTCGATCACCAAAAAGGGAGAAAAACCATCACCAGAACTAATCACTCTTATAAACTAAACTGTCTGTGATAATCCTTGCATGTTTTTTTTTCAATTCAATCACAATTTTATTATATATGCAATATTTATAATAGTTTCCTCTCCTCATTCATCAGTAATAATCATAATAAGATATCATCTTTCTGATATTTACACAAGAAGAATAACATTATAGTCTCTCCTCAGCGTAGGACTTGATGCTTTGTTACTGCTCTGAAGATTTATATCATTTAAACATTAACTGCAAATAGATTTTCTCTCCTTCCGCTCCTCCTTTGCACTGTGATGCTGCTATTAATGCCTGATTGTGATGTGAGTTTATATGAACCTTGGCGCAAAAATATCTCATCTCTATTTCTTCAAAACTATCTGTCTTTATATTTTTTATTCTCCTGCACAATCTTTCTTTTTTTTCTTTTAGGTATCAGTGTTGTTAAATAGTTCCATATCATCATCTTCTCCTCCCTAAAGTATTGTCGTCTGTTCCTCATCCCAAAGACGCAAAATATTATATAGCTACAAATCAAAATACTTTGTACACATGCAATGAAAAAAAAATCCTTACACTATTAATAAATCGTCTCTAGTAACTTGATCACGTTGCTGGATCGTCAAAGAGAAGCCCAAATATCATCGAAAGGACTCTAAGAATTGCTTCAAAGTTAATCTCTAGCCTTAATACCACACACCACCCCACAAAATATCATTTCACCCGCCCTCCTCTGCTCTGACCTCTTCTCGAGTCTCTCAACAAGCATCCACACAATCACACAGGAAGAGCAGGAGCACAAGTTTCATACATTTGACCGCATGGATTTCTTCCATCCCAAATATCAACACTGACTTCTCTCTGAGAATTTATCAGGCAGCTCAGGAAGCTTTTAGCCTCAATATCATTTAACTTAATGGTTCAAAACTATAACTATAACGCGTTATATTCGATCAATCCAAGGGATTCCAAGATTATTGGCTTTCAATGTCAGCAATGCACGAAACACACTCCCGTTCATCCTGTGCACATTCACACCCACCCACCAAATGCGCCTGTTCTTCCCTTTTCTCCTCTCCGTGAGCATGATATGTGCAGAAAATGCAGACACACAAGGTGTATCCCAAACCAAAATGCCACCGCAAATCCATCCCAAAATCCCACAAATGGCCATGAATGCAGAGGTAAACCCAATATCTGATCACTCAAATGTTACTTTTGTGACTTTGGTGTGACTAGCATTTCAAGTATTAATTCAAAATTACATTTAATAACTTTACAATTAGTCCATAATAATCATTAATCCACTGTTCATTTAACCATTAACGGTGAGTGCCTCTAATCGCTCTCCCCCACAGTGTCTACATCAATTGGTTGCTCTGAAGGAGGCAGAAAGACAAAGTATTAATCAGAGATATTGTGTGGTGGTGTTTTCTGTTAGCGCATTTCACATTATAGCCTCTCTCTCTCAATCTCGCTGTGTGGCCATAACACAATTCATGTACACTACATTTCTCTCTCTGGCTCTCATCCTCGGTTTTTGCAAAGTGTGTCTTTTTCTGTGTGTGAAATGTTCATGCTTTACCTCCAGATTTCTTCGTGCTGGCCGCCACTGCCTTCGCCTTCTCCCTCAGCGCCACGGGCAAGCTAAACGGCGCCGATCCGAAGGGATCATCATCCATGCCGCCCTTCTCCTCGCTCTCCACCCTGCTGATCGCGCCCGAGCCACTTGAAGCCACCGTCACTGGGTTGTTCTGCCCGGGAGGCGTCTTCACCTGATTGTTGAGACCTGCAGTACAAGTCATCATTGTAAATCACACTCAAAATCAGCCCCCTTCCCACCCTATTCGTCAAACTACTCACTACTCTGGCTGCCCTGATGACGAATCTTATCAAACTCCGCCCCGAAGATGTGATCTTCGCTCATTTGACTGAAGGAGTCCTCAAAGGGATTCCACGCGGCCATATTCTTCACAATCTTCTCACTCCCCACTTGCTTCACCTTCTCCGTGATTGGCGATGAGAGGTTCAAATCAGTTGGATGCTGTTTAGTCGTTGTCGTCGCGACATTTGCAGTGAAATGCATATTTTGCTCAGAAGAAAAGTTCACACCAACTGTCGCTATTGGGGACGTTGAGTCCTGACGATTCTTGCCCGATGTATCGAATGGAGCGAGAAACTGAGATGTTTCACTGGCATAAACCCTAAAAATATGTGCAATTTAGTAAAAACAGAACCGAGAAAGTAAGACTTTTCCAGTAGTTTTATAGCATATTAGTGATAAAGAAGAAATACACAAAGGACTTATCGCTGTCCGCCGCATGTTTGCTTGTCTCAATTGCCCTTATCTATGCTGTGAATATTTCATCACTCTCAGCAATACTCCTCTTCATTTGCTTCATTTCCTATTTATCATTCCAGCTATAGCCGATGTCGCGATTTTTTCTGCCTCTCGCGTGGAAGTTTCCCCAAACCACAAATTGCCCATCTGCTGACTCAACTTGTCTAGAGACAGATAAAAAAACATACTCACTTGTTGAAGGCTGACGTGTCACTCATGTTGCGACGATGACCAACTTTGGGAGTGACTAGCATCTGTGGTGGTTTCGTTGGGGTGCCGACCAGGGGTCCCATCACGTCCTGCGACGTCGTGGGGAGACTCTCGCAGCTGGCGCCTGCCGTGGGCGGCGGCCCGGCGCTCTCTCCGCCCGATTCCCTGAACGGGTCCGGATAATTGGTTTGGAACAGGCTATCTAGGTGCTCAGCCTTGGCGCCCTTGCCGCCCGTGTTGCTCCTCGGCACGGCCACCTCGTCGTTCTGCGGAAAAGCCGCGCTGAATTGAGCCGTGAAGGCCTCATTGGGGGCCTCAGTGGTGGGCACAGGCGACGACAAGGTGTTCCGGGGTGAAGGACTCGGTGGCAAGGCGATGGGAAGTTGTCCAGGTGCAGCAGCATGAGAGGCACTGGCTTTAGGCCGTTGTCGCGGCGCCACACTCGTTCCACTCTCCGGCACCAGCACAGAGGTTGACTTTGGTGTCTTCGGGGCTCCCTGGACGGCTGCACTTCTCTTCTGATCCGCCTCAAATTGCGGCTCCGGGAGACTGTCCAAAGACGGCGCTGGCAGTTTCTGCAAGAGTCATCAGAGATACTTAAGCAAAATTACACTCGAGCGCACATTGAGGATACTCACATGAAGATTCTGCACCGGATTTTCCCTGCCGGCCAGACCAAATGCAATCTGACTGACTTGGTAGATATTGGGACGCTTCTCCATATCCGGCTCCAGCATGTACCGGATGAGCCTGTGCAGCCCGCGCGAATACTTCGAGTTGTCCGGAATGACAAAGTTCCCACTCTGGATGGCGAGCGTGCTCTCGCCAAAGGGCAGCGTGAAGAAGCACATCTTGTAGAGACAACAGCCCAGCGCCCAGATGTCCGCTTTGGTCGTTATGTTCCTCCCTGTATAGAGATCCACCATCTCGGGCGCGCGATACGACAGCGTGGTGTACTTCTTGATCTCCTCCTCCACCGCCGTCACGCCCTGCACATTGGGATTGAGGATCTTGGCCGTGGCCGAGCCGAAGTCGCACAGCACGTAGCTCCCACTGTCGCTGAGCAGAATGTTCTCCACCTTGATATCTCTGTGAATGATTGGCGTCTGGCAGTGATGCAGTCGCGACACCGCCTCACAAATATCACAGAATATCTGCAGCACCTCGGGCTCGGTGAAGCCACTCTGGAGGCGGGCGTTCATCATCGCCAGCATGTGGTTCTTGCAGAAGGGCATGAGCAACAGAACCTCGTACACACCATTGCCAGTGTGGCTGATACTCGAATCGATGTACCCAATGATATTCTTGTGGCCATTCAAGTTGCTCTGCACAGAAAGAAGGTCGATTTGATTAGAAAAGATAGATGAATTGAGACGCGCTTCTCGCCTCAAGGAGACCGAAATCCTTGAACGCAACTCACACATGCTTAATTGGTGTAAACAACCATTTCATAAATTAAATCGATAAGTCACTCTCTGCAGAAATTACGTTCATGAATTTTATCTAACATTGTTTCATTAAAATTTCATTGGATAAAACCACAAATACGCGCTGAGCCTAACCTCGCGAATGCTCTTAAAGCATATTTCAAAGATGAATTATTAGAAAAGTCTCGTTTTAAACTGTGTTTCATCACCCATATTGGAAACCGTCTTAATCAGAAGATACAAAACAACAAAACCAAAACATACGACAGTGCGTGATGAAGCCAACGATAGAGCTCAATGAATATCAGCCATCTAATAGCATTTAAGAGCACTCGCTGAAGTCTATTACGTGAGTTTGAGACATAAACAACCACTGCTTGACCTCGCTAGCTTCTGAAAACATCTTCACAGCTCGTCTGCAATTCTTGGAAGCTCTCCGGAAGGTCTAGTCAGTGGTGTTCTTCAGAGATTTGCCTTCGGGGCGGCGTGATAGCCCCAGGCGAGACTCTATCAGCTTTATTGGAGCCGATGATGCGACTCAGATATCGAGAGAGCAGAGAAAGAGGCGGAAAAAGCACTCACAGCTATTTGGATTTCTCGTTTCGCCACATTGAGGTCATAGTCATTGTTGACATACATTCGCTTCAATGCGTATCGCGCAGACCCATTGTTGGACTTCACCAAGAAGACCATCGCGAAGCCACCTGGAAAGGAAGGCGGAAGGACATGAGATTGGATCCTGACTATTGATTTTTCCGCGTCCCTCTTACCCTCCGCCAGGATGTCTTCCACGGTGACCGTGGAGCGCCCCACGGTGAAGGCCTTGCCGATGTAGTTGCTGGACTCCCTGTTGGTGACACTCTCCAGTTTCTCATTCTTCTCGAATTTGGAGAAGATTTTCTTCATGTCTCCGGACTGTGAGGTTTCCTCTGGTGACAATTTTCAAGGGCACACGCCACTGATGTCTCCGCGTGGCTCCTCCCGTGGGCCCCACGCGCTCGCGGCAGCTGGCAGGATGTGACGCAACCGACGGAGCAGTGTGGTATCTGCATCCGCCCCAAATTCGCCCCCTTTCTCGCACTCTGGGGCAGCTTCGTGGGAGCGCTGCCTGGTCGCGTCGCAAATCACGCTTTTGCACTTCACCTCCGCGCTATCACACGCACATTTCACTTCACGCGGCGTTAGGGTGGGCTCGGGTGGAGAAGCCTCGTGCGAAAACTCTCATCCAGTGGACTTTTCCTGGGGAATTTTCACTTTTCAACCAACACTTCCTGGCCGAATCGCACTTTTTTCATGACATGACGTGCCTTCTTCGGAAATTTCCGGAATGTCAGCGTCACCGGCATGCCAGTGCATGGCGGCTCGCTTGCAAGTCTGGCGGGCTTTTCCTCCTCTTTCTCATACCCAGAAATACAAGTCTAATTTCCATAGAGTTTAGGGCTCTACATTGCCCAAATGTTTAATGTTCTCTCCTCCCTGCCATACATGTCATATTGAGAATGATTGTACTATCCTACAAAGGAGCTCTCCTGCTGCGACGCTGTGACTCCGTGTGTCTGGAAAACTCCCTGGAAAATCGGCCTCAATTGGCTCTCCTCTTGATAGACACCTTCCCCTGACTCAGATGAGATGTGTTGATCTTGAATTTACTGCCAGCATCCGTCAGCTTCTTCACGCAGATCTGAAAAATCCTCAGAATTATAGCTTTTGATGCGGAAAATAAACCAACATCCACTTACCGTGTCATTCCCGATGGCTGAGATTGTGGCTGGGAACCTGTGGAAGTCTTTCCCCTCGACGAACACCGGCTGGCCGCGATGAAACCACCGGCGTTCATAGAGGAGCTTCCCATCCTCAATCTTCGCCTCGACAACTGGCGGAGTCTCGTGATGCGATGCAGGAATCGCGGCAGGACTCGTGGGGATGCCATTATTGGGCAGAGACGGTGGCCTCATTGGTGTCATCGCCTTGCCACGACTGATCAACTTCAAATCGTTCTCCACATCCTTTTCGTCCAGCAATAGCACAAGTTGACCATTTGTGGGCTTCCGGCGCTTCTCCACCACGGGAATAGGCTCGTTGGGCCTCCTTCGCAGCTTCCTCGTAACTGTAGGCTTCACCTCCATCGAGTCACTGGTAAGTTCCATGCTGTTGTGCTCAGATTCAATCATCTTCCGCCTGTCCTCGAAGTCTGTGAGGAGATTCTCCTTGAGATCTGTCTTCTTCTCCTCGAACTCCTTCACCGCCGCCTTCTTCTCCAGGATGTAGTCTCTCTCCACGCACTCCACCAGGTAGTCCCGATAAATCTCATTGAGGCGGAGGCGCTCTTTGTACTGATACTCGAGCTTCTTCACGCGCCTCACCAGTTCCGCGTGTGAGCCGTTCTTCAGCTCCTCCAGCTGCTTCTTAAGATTCGACAGCTTGTCTTGGTACATCCTGCGGAGAAATAGACAGCTTAGCGTGAGCCCCAAATGCCCAAATTCGTCCCTCCCGGACGCCCACTTACTGCTCCTTGATTTCCACGGGTTCATCCTGGTTCCGCTGGTGTGGGGCTAGATCTGTCTCACTGGCCTCCTCAGTGTCTAGAAAATTGCGGAAATATTGGCCCAGATGGGTGGAAATTGGGGGAAAAGTGCCAGAGAATGTATCACCTTCTTCACTGTCATTCTCCTGGTCAATGAAATCATACGACGGATCGTATTCGTACTCAAAGTCCTCGTTGGTGTTTGCAGAGTAGTAGGGGGAGTTCTGGTAGGACATTTTCCTCGGGAAAATTGTACTTGCACCTCCGGGAAACACTGATTATTCTTCGAAGGTTGCGAGTAAACACACGCACTTTATGGCCGCCCTCTCAATGCCCTGTAACGCGCTCTCGTCATATGGCGCAGTAGAGAAGTCCCAGATTGCGTCTCTGGACAATTCCGCTCCCACATTTTATTTTTCATGATAAATAGGTGTTGTGTTTAAGAATAAAGCAACTGAAGAATTCTTCAGCTAATAAACTCAGGTATTTAAAGATATTCAACGCGATTTCGCCTATTTAACCAAATTTTTGCGAATTGAATTCCGCAATCACCACAGACACTCTGGCGGACAGTCAGAGGACGCCATGTGTATGGGGCATCGCGCTCGGCGGCCATGTTGGAACCGCTGCGACTCACACTTCTCCATGTTGACACACTACGTTGGAAGAGGAGTCGCGCGAAAAATCCCCGTGCCGTGATTTCGTGGACAGAATCACACCTTTTCCGTGCCAATCACACCCAGAGTATGCACCGTGCATAGACGGACGTGCAGTGATGGTTTGTGAGTGAAGTTTCGTCCGTGGCAGTGCGTGGAAAGCCGTGGTGAAAATCGCTGGTGAGCGCAGAGAAATCGCCTGAAACAAAAATGGCCCTACAAGGTTATTGAACGATGTTAATTTCTTTGTCTCGCCCGCCACTCACGCTGCCTCGTGCATGCATTGGCGTCCCAGAGGCGCGTGAGTGGCGCGCAATTTGGCAGTCAAGGGGTGGAATTCACGTGGAAATTCGTACCCTCGACCACGAGGGTGTGATTTTTCGCCACACATTTTTTCCTTGCATCATCCTCTCTCTCGCTCTCCAATGGCGTGGATTTCTCGGAGTGTGCGCCGAGCAGTGCTGTGCGGCGGCATCGGAGAGCGATTTTTTTTCTCATCTGCGAACGTCTCAAGGCAACTGCAATTTATCTCTTTGGTCTTTTTGCGTCTCTGTCGCGTCAGCGGTGGCGACATGGCAAAAAGTGGCCCAATATTGGCGCTCAATCGGCACCTATTTATAGGCGGGTGAGAGGGTGGGATTTTGCGCTGCACTTTGGCGCCCTTTTTCACGGCTCGCCCTCGAGACCGTGAGCGAGAGGGAGCCAGTGCGCCCTCGCAGAAATACTACCGTTTCTCTCGCGTCGTCTCCCTCTCGCCAGGGCACTTCCACTTGCACTCCGTCCCGCTTCCTCGCCAATTTTCCATATATTCACACACAGTGCGCGCGCCACCTTGTGCGTGACGGTGTGAGTGAGCGCGAGGAGTAGGGATGGCCCAGCTGTGAAACTTTCGTAGTGTTGGCTTGAAATATTTCACGATGATTTCGGGATTGAATTATTACAACTTCAATTAATTTTTCCGACATTCATACAGTTACTGCATTAAGTTAATCAAGAACCTTGTTAGAAATTAATGGCTTGTTGATAGATAAAGCAGGGGAAAATTACTGTGGAAATGTTTGTCAGCTGTTGTTCGGAATAGGTAAAACCTTCCCTGTGTCTCAAAAGTTTTAAAATGTAGATAATAATAAAAAATAACGTATTTTATTCACTGACATCTTCTGAGTATTTTCAAATTTTCCTGAAACATTTCACTGCGGAAAAATTTCACGAAATATCACGTCCATGGCGTAGTGAGGGGAATTCTCATTGGCTCACTGCGATTTCTCATACGTCAGTCCTACTTTCTCCTCGACTCGATGACACTTTGCACAAATGGAAGTGCTTTTAGTTTAGAATTCTTTTCCATTTAATTAATCCACTAAAATAGTCGCGTGCACTAACAGGAAACACTTGTCGTCGTGTTGGAGTCGACATTGATGTTTCCATGAGTGGAAAAAGTGTGTGAAAGTGTGAAAAAGGTGGGTTTTTCGATAGTTTCCTTGAGGTTCTTTTTTTTGCTTGTTCAGTTGGTCGGTCGAATGTGAAAAAAGTGGGGTGGAAAATGTGTGTTTGAAAGGGGGGCATTTTCCAGGACTGCTTTGCACTTTTTCCCGTGTTCGGGGGATCTGAGGGTGTGGGCAAAAGGTGGGCAGTTGTGTGTGATTTTCTGCAAAAGTGTGTCCAAGGAAAAATTGTGAAACAATCGACAGAGGCGCGAGAGTGAGAGAAAAAGTCTTTACATAATTCCAATTTGATATTCTTCCGTATGTTTCTGGGTGTGTTTGTGCGACACATGAGTGTGTGTGCGTGTGTGTGTGCTTCGAATGGCTCCGACGAGTGCGTTTCGGAAGGAAAATCGGAATTCCAGAGACCTCCAAAGGTCACACTTGGTCTCCATTGATTATTTTCACTGATTCCGAGTGCCTTCTTATCGCCCTGGAGGCGCTCTTTCCTGGGCTCCCGCCGCCAAGAGGGGTTCTGCCTCTCGCTCGTGCCCCGCTGCCATTATCGATTTTCTCCCAGAGACTCTCTCTCTCGCTGCTCGGGAGCAATATGGCTGGGGCTGTGCACAGGGGGCCGAGACGAGTGATAAGAGGAGGAACAATGGCACAGAAACTCCACCATACGGATTCCGTTAGTCACACACTGGCCAGATGACTAAGAGGCTCGATGAAATTCCACTGAGAGCTTCTGGGTAACAGAGAGAGAGTCTCGCCATGGCCGGAGAAATGCGACATGGAAGAGTCGAGAAGCGTGAAAATCACATGATTGCTTCTTGGGAGAGTTTCAATTGTTGTTTCCCAGAATTTTCCCTCTTTCCTGCAGTGCTGATTTGATCGAAAATTAGGTCGAGAGAATACAGTGAAATCTTGCAAACGTGGAATGACTTCTCGGATTTCTCACATTTCTCATGATGGTGAAATTCAAACTCAACGGCGCGTCGGTGGAGTAAATCCAGCGCGTCCCAAGGGTGGTTCCTCTCCCTCGCTGGTTTTTCCTCAATGGACTCGACACGATAGCGTAGAATTTTTCTGCTCACTTTTTCACAACTGGCGTGAAGTGCGCAAGATCACGCGAAGCGCGCAATAAAGCGTCAAATTGTGAACAGTTTTCGCAGACTTTTCGATTGTCTGGCTCGTGAGGGGAGGAAAAGGCGAACAAGGGGATATTATCATGTGATTGAGGCATGAAGAAGCGCGATTGCGCTTCTATTTCTCCCGATTTTTCCACATTGTCGCGACGATTTGTGGCGTTTTGTGATTTTGAGAAGGAGATTATGCTTAATGTTTAGAGCTGCACATGCTTTGTCTGCCACAAAAGGGAGGCACAATGGAGTTTGTTGTTGATCATATGGGGATCTCAAGATGAGTGGGAAACATGTTTCCATGCGCTGAGATGAAAATGAAGCTCACTCAGCCTCCAGCAAAGTCCTCGGGCGGAGGTGCAAGCTGATTAATTGAGTTATGTGGCTGCGAAAAAAGTAACTAACGTGCTCAGTGATGCAATTCACAATGCACGCCTTCAATAAACAACTGGCCGTCAGTGTGTTAGCGAGAGGGTGGCAATTTCTGTTGATTGCACAGAGTGAGAGAAAGAGAGAATCTGCTGATTGTGTTCCGTTGGCACGAGAAGGAAATTAATAATTGATTTATCTGTTTTTCTCAATGGCCACACAGTGAAATTAAGCGCTTTTTTAAGTGATTTGTTGTGCAGTGCAAATATTGCAGCGAGTGTGAGGGGAAAATCTTTGGATTTCGCTGTGGGAATTGACTTAAGCGAATTCTTAGAATATTTCTATGTCTCCAACGGTATCTCCCGGTGAGCTGGTCTAACGCGTATAGTAATTAGAGACGAGTGGGGCCATTTTGGTTAGCAATTTAGAGATATTCATTTTATGACTGTCCTAAAGAGTGCAATGAACTGCTCGATGACCCTTGACTTCCTTAAGAGGCAAAGACAAGCCAAATAAAACACAATTGTTCCAATATTAACTTCCATTTGGAGAAGCACAAGTGTAAAAACTGTCCATGTTGACTCCGAGCTGCTGTATAGCAAATTTTTCTCAAATTTAGACGCTCAGGAGAGCCAGACAGAGAAGAAAAGCAACAATATTTTGATAAAATATGTAGAACAAAGACAGAGGGAGAGAGAGAGACTGGCGCGCGAGGTCTTTGTCTCCATTTGGACTGTGTTCGTCTCTCTGTTTGTGTTAATTTTAGTGTGGGAACTGAAAAAAAGGCGCACTAAGAGCCCCACGATGTATCCTCATGTTTCCAGACGTCTGGTCAATGTGGCGTTGTCCTCTAATGTGGCGTTTACTTTTCTGTCTCTCTTGCAGATAGCCACAAATTAACAACAATGGACCCAAATCAATAAGGCAACCAATAATCGAAACTCTCCCCCTCAAAGCCAGCCGAAACCAAACACACACTCTCTACGTAAAAATGGACTAAGAATCGTCAATCAAATTTAACAAAAATACCAAACTCAACCGGAATCCGTTTATTTCTCTCGTAAAGAAAAGCAAAAAAATAAATTCATTAAGGAACGTCTATTGAAAAATTCTTCAAACAGAAGAAGAAGTAGAAAAAGTAAAATTTGCCTGAGATTCCTTCTGCATTGAGTCATCTGCCTCGAGTGAGACATTATCATTATCAGTTTTTTCGGAACTGCGAAGAGGACAACATTTCTGCACAGTCAACAGTCATTTGGACAACGTGAAGCGCAACGGACGTGAAGTTGTTGTCTGGCAGTACGTTATTGAGGACATTTGAGAAGCACTAGCGAAAAATGACTTGGAAGATGTTGAGAGAATTCTTGAGGATGATGGACTTGTGTGAATTTGTGCAAGATGAGTAGACTGGAGTGGCTGGAGGGTGTGACCAACAGTGGGGGTTGTCTGGACGTCGCCATTCGCCACCTTCTGCGCCCACCCAGCGCGTCTGGCCAGGAGATTCAGCGTGTGCTGGCGTGGAAGTTGTCTCAGCACCACACTGACTCATCCGTGTGGCAATTTGGGAAGATCACGACACGTGAATGACATTCTATTCAGTAATTAAGGTGACTTGCTCTTTCTTCTTTAAACTAATCTTGCTACTCCTCGCGTGTGCGTTTTTTTTCTTGTCTTTTGTGTATAGCTGCGAAGTGGGGTACTCACTGTCTCTCTTCTTAACGCAGGAATGAAGTATCCCCAGCTTGTGTCTGCTCGTGCGGTTAACGCAATATCCGATTGGCTCATATCGCGACTGGAGGATTTGGGTGTTGATGCACCAGTTGTCTATTCTCGCTTGCTCCTATCGCTGCTTCATACGCCATTGCAAGTGAATGCCTTGGATTTGGCCGAAATTCCCCAGCTCAAGGTGAGACAATAACTATAATTGTAAGCCCTCTTCTTCCCAGTGACCCCAATTATTAATTGCTGACTTTCCACTGCTACGTGTTGATTTCCTAATTCACAGCCACATTCGTCTTTCCGCGTGCTTTTTTTGCATTGTGGCAATGTGAGCTTTATCAGTTATATTAATGTTGTTTTCGTGGGGTTTCGTGGTGATTTTTATCGCTTTTCATTATTATTGCTATTCATGTTTTTCCCTCGAAGGAAAGCTCAACATGTGTGTGTTGGTAATGAATAATTCACTGTGAGTTCACTGAAGAAAAAAGGAGGCTAAAGAAAATGATAAGTTGAATATGTAATCAATATTTGAAGAGAAAGTGAGTTTATGATTAGCTTTTAAAGTTTTGAGCATTCTGGGAAAACATCCAGAGGCAATTCTTATCATTATGAGTGGTCATTTTGGCTCTTCAATGCCTTATGGGTTTCTGGGAAGATTGAAAAGTAATTACCAGTTATTGTAATGGTAGAAAATTGTAAAATAATGATTATATGTCACATGCAGAGAAAAAAAAAGAATGTTGAAGACAAACAAAAGAGAGAGAGAGAAAGAAAGAAAGAGAGGCTATAAAATGTGGCGAGTAAATTTTTAATGAGTTTTTGCTTTTCCAGGGATGGTTGGCTCGAAAGAATCGTCGTCTAACGCCATCCGATGCAGAAGCACTGAAGAAGTTTGCCGCCGTTGAAAGCTTAATGGAGGTCGCTTCGTCTGATCAACAGGTAAGTTTTGCAGTTTTGTGCTTCTCTTTGCTCGTCTCTGTCTGTATTTTAATATGCAAAACTGTATTTTTGGGATTTTCCACGCGAAGCAGAAATCAAATGTTGAGGATTTGGTGAATGAACTGTGCCAGAGACTGCGTGAGATTGAGAATCAAAATTCATCGGACTACGAAGAGGGTGTTGAGATGGAGGCGAAGAAGGTGAATGAGTCGACAACAAAGGAGGATCCAACCAAGAGATACTATCGGGCTTTTCCCGCTCTCAATCGCCAGTGTGGCGATGGGGCTGAGGATGCTGCAACGATGTCGTCGTCGCTGACATGGCCGAACGAAGTGGGCAGGAGTGGCGATGCTGACGGTCAGGAGGGTGGCGAGATGGGCAGTGATGCTGTGCGGATGAGCGCGGGTGCGAATGCAGGGGTGAAACGCAAAACAAAGAGGCGACGCAATAATGGTGAGACAATCTGACAAGACTTTTATCATCCGTCTGCAACGATAAGAGTTCAATGATTTGGTCATTAATATAATTTTTCTGTCACTTTTTCAGGACTTGGCAAGGGCAAATCATCGTCATTTACGCGACGTACATCGACTGGTGGCAGTGCGAAGGCATCACTGTGGGACACGGATTTCTCGGGACACTGGGAAATGGGTCATGACATGATACGTGACTTCATCATCAAGCAGAATAATCGGAATAGGAGCATTTCTGAGAGTGATGCCAGCAAATTTGTCAAGATAAATGACTTCATGCAGTCGCCAGATCAGAAGCCGCGGTGCGATGGTGAGAGGAAGATGGAGCAGGTGTTGCAGGAGTGCTCAGATGAGGCTTTCAAATTGCCACATGGTGTCACGGTGAATGAGGAGCAGACGCTTCTTATCAAGAATATGCTGCAATCGTCCCAAGCGGGGCAGTTCAGGAAGGAGTCAATGGTGAACTTCGAGACTGGTGTGGATGATGAAGAGCGCACGGATATGTCGCCCTTCTTTGCCTCTTTCGACACCAATACCCTCCTGTTTGGCAGCAATATGATCCGCGATGAGGGATACGCCACACCGGACACACTCACATCCACGTCAGAGGTGGACAGCACTTCGGCACCGCCGCGGCGTCTCTATGAGCGCGAAGTGTCCAATGAGTCACTGAACAGCTGTATTCAGGCACCAATAACGACGACGACCAAGAGTGATGACGACAACATTGCACAGTTCGAGGCGAAGTTCAACAAAAGCATGGAGGCACTTTGGGACAACGCGACCACTCACGAGGAGAGCAACACGAACTCCTTCTGGCACAACTACTATCGTCATCACTATGACGAGGATGCGTCGGCTAAGGTGGCAAGTGAGTGTGGCGATTCTGGGTGGCCGACAAAGATTCCTTCGCTCACGGACATGATGGAGGCAAAGAAGAACAGCACCACTGATCTCAACTCCATCTGGGCAGCTCCAGAATCATCGTCGTCCTCCCAAATCGCGCCACCGACTGACAATGCTTGGCCTCTGAGGTATCTCGATAACGGGAAGAGAGACACACTGTCAAAGGTGAGTTAATGCCTTTAAAATTGATTTCTCAATGCAACTTTGACACTTACACCGTTTTGTTTTGCAGTTTGTCCCTGAGCCTGATATGAGCGTGATGGGATATCCGCTGAGTGACTTTATAGGTCTGAGCAAGTGGTCAGATCAGCCGTTCGCGTGCGATGAGGAGACTCGTCGCGTTGATCAGCTGTACGAGGGGTGCAAATCACTGCCGATCACTTATGCCAACTACTCGCAGGTCTTTACGGCGCCCGAGCCGCCTGAGGATGAGGATGCGAAGGTGACACTGATGAATCACTCAATGGACAGTTGCTTTGCGGTGGTGAAGAAGTCCCACCGGACGCCGCAGTTTCGTGGGCAGCAGGGAAAGTTCAAGGGTTTCATCGGCAGCACAAGCACGTCCACAGTGATTGGGGACAACGAGAACCTCCTCACGTCTGATCGCACGCACTTTCGACCCATCAAGCAGACGTTTGTGGATGGGTTCATTTTCGATATTCCCTGCACGCCTGACAATATAAGGTATGAGAGAACCGACACGGGATCGATGTACTTCGATTCTGAGCGGTATATGGAATACCTGGCGAAGGAGATGGCGGACGAGGGTGATGATGGCGAGGTGGAGGAGAGGAAGAATGAAAACTTCACCCTTAAATTCTGCGTGAGGCAAATCGAAAAGTGCTGCCAGACGGAGGAGCGTCTGCTTTGTCTCAGTGCTAAGATGTATAGTGAGCCGGTGGGTTTTGGGGCGCGCTATCAGGACACTGAGGAGGATTCAGATGTGGACATGATGCCGGATGTGTTCACCAGGGCGCAGATGTTTCGCTTTGAGGATGGTGGTGAGAATTGTGATGATCTGGATTTGTTCAGGGCGTCGAGTTTCCACTACCAACCGCCCAACACGTGTTTCGGCGGTGAGTGTCTGGATCTGGACAATTGGACAATGGCAGAGATGAAGAAGAACTGCGTGGACAACAACAACAGCCACACGCTCTGGGGACACTGCACGACATGCAATAACAGCACCATGTCGCTGCCGGCAAACCGCATGCTGAGAGATGAGCTGTACGCAGACGGCGAGGAGATTCTCTCGGATTTGCGCTACATGCAGGATCTCTATATTGGTGAGGCGGATGAGGAGTCTGAGTGGGAGGAGAACGATGATGATGCTGCGTTTGCTGTCAAGTGCCCGGACGATCCGGCCAAGAATATCTACTACAATGTGAACAAGCTCATCTCGGACCTCCTGCGCCCGGAAACGGTGAAGACGCTGACTCAAGTATTGGGTGAGCAGAATCAGAAGACCATCATGGAGGGCATAATGTCGGAAAAGGTCCCTCAGGAGGCCAGGCACGATGTCCGTGAGCGCTGGATGGCCAAGCCGACCATGTGGAGTGAGTGGAAGGAGAGTCAGGCGATGGATCGCGATGAGATCTCCTACAACATCTCCGATGATCATCTCAGGTGTCTCATGGACACACGGGCTGATGGTCAGAAGGCGCGTCCGGACAGGAAGCGTCGTCACTCGGCCTCACAGAATCTCCCTGAGGACTTTCGCAGCAAATTCCACGGCAATGCTATGCTGAAGGAGTCCTGGGACAACTTCGAGCATCATCCGGCACCGGGGAAGTTCATCGGCAGATCTGCCCTCTTCAATCGTGTCACCATGGTTTCCCGCCCACTCACCCGATAAATCCACCCCGACAGCCCCCCGAAATGTCCTTCAGTGTCCCCAAGAATCCTCCATAGGAAGCCCGCCCGCCAAGACGAATGACCAACCGCCTGACCAGGAATGTGAGCCAATATCCGTTGTTTAACCGCCGCGAAAAGGAGTTTTTTTTCATGTTAAATCAAAGTTGTTTGTGTTTTGGAAGGAATTTGTTGGCATATCTGGGCAAAAATAATGCCCGGAGAAGGAGATTTTCAAAGATGGAACTAATTTCCCCCTAGAATTATTCAGTTTTAAGGGCAGAGAGTGAGAGAAAATGTAATTAAATAGATGTAAATTCATTTTAATTAATCCGAGACACACACAAACGCATAGTTTTAAAAGTTAAAGTGGAAAAAATGAAGGAATTCAAAATTATCGTAATCCACCAAGAGAAATCATTACAATAGGCATCCGTTGTCAGACAGTTCATTAAGATAAATTTGTTGGTTGTTTCTATTTTATTACATTTTCACCTGGTGAGAGTCTTTTAGTTCAATTTCGCGTGAATGAAGTTGAGTCATTTATATAAATATATATAAAATAGAAACAAATCGCGACAATGTAAATTTTCACAGCGACAGATGTAATTTCAACAGTGTCGTTGCAAAATTTAGTGAAATTCCTTTTAATTCGATGTACTTTTTCGGGTACCAAAAGAAACTTTGTGAAAATTGACATTGTCGCTTTGGAGAAGACCGAGAAAATGGTAGTTGAAAAGCATAAAAAAAGAACTCATATTAGTTAATATTTTCCAACACACAATCCGATATAAAATCATTTGTTTATGCATTGTTAGAATCACAACACGAAAAAACACACTGAAATTTTCTTGATCTTCGCGTAAGTTTTAAATAAAAGAAGTAAGAAGACAAGAAGTTTGAATGTATAAAGAGAGAGAAAAAATGTGAAATTACATGTAAATTAACACACGACACGCTCTTTTTGTCATCAATTCAGAGTATTTCTTGTGAAAACGCCCAATTTGTACTCTGAGATGATTTGCAAAAAGTGGGAAACACATAATTTTACTATTAATTATAGTATTTAGGAGATGAGGGAGTTCAGGAGAGGACAAATCTTCAAATATCCGTAGATTTGTTCGGCGATTTGGTGGACGAATCTTCAGACAGTCGAAGATTTGTCTCTGGAAGGAAGAAGGAAGGTGTATTTTTGATGAGATGAAACAAAGAAGGAAAATACTAGGAATAGTATGAAACCATTTAAAGGAATACCTTTTAGACAGCTATAAATGATAAATATTCAATAATTTAAGTCTTATCACGAAAACATTTATTCCAGCTGTCGTAAATTTATAATTACCCTCCAAACAATTTTTATTTTCCGTCAGACAGAACACATGAATATTCCGTGTATTTTAGAAAGAGAGATTTTCTTTATCAGCAAAAGTGCGAAGGAAGTTAAAGCGAAAAACAACATCTTTTATAACTGATAAATATGAAGATGAATATAAAATGCCTTACAGATGATTCAACAAGATGTTATAGAACACGTTGCATTCTTGAGAAAATGTTCGTAAAATGCACAATTTCCCGAAGTTTTATGGTGAAAAAATGGGAATTTGTGAAGTTATTTTGAAAATTATTTTAGCAAAATATCGCGGTAATTTGCAGAATGTGCGGTATTCAGCAGCAATAAATATAGGCTTTTTGAGAAAATTCACAACAATTCACATACTATTTTCATTTATCGTTTCCCTTTAATCTCAAAAAACAATTTTGTAAATATATAGTGCTTGCGAATTTGGAGGTTATGTCGAAGTATTTGAATGAATTTCCACGCACTGGGAGAAATTTTCCAACATTTTCCCAATCATACCTTATCTAAATACTTGAAAATGTTAAAAATTTTAATTTATCTTTTTCTTTTTTGATTTCTTAGTTTAATTGTCTTTGAAATACTCTTAATCTGATTTGGTTTAGTATTGAATTATCCTGGAAGTGTGGAAATTCCTTCGACATTCGTTAAGTGAATGACGAGAAGCTCATTAAACTGCCAAAATGGCAGAGTTGAAGTGAAAATTTGAATGAGAGGAGAATATAAAATACATAAATAATCACTTGTTGTATAAAGAATGAGAGGAGACAAAAAAATTCACACTCGAATTCATTCTGAAAAGTCCTCTTTGTTGATGAAGTCTCTGCAAGCGGAGGGTTTAAAATTCGTCAACGAGCAGGACTTTTCTGCAGCGAAGGAGTGTCAAATCGAGAGGGGAGAAAGCTGTAAAAAGAAAATACACAAGTAGTTATAGGTTTGTGTGTTGTCCGAGAAAAATACAATTAAATTACGATGAACGAAAGGAGAAAAACAATTCGGAGGAACGGAAAACTGAAAATATGACAAAATCTGTCCTGTTTACCAGTTTTTCCTTTCTCTGGGTGTAAAAAAAAAATTAGAGAGAATAAATGCTTGGTTCTGTGAAATATGGAAAAGGAATATTTTGCAAAATTGAACAAAGTTATTCCGCAGAACATATAAAAGGAAAAAGATCATTAAAAAAGCCTCTGTATTGAAAAAAAGTGGAAATCCTTATAAAAAAAATGAAGCACGATAGAAATTCACCTTTATTTAATTGAAATGGATGTAATTTAAAGAAAGTTTATGAAGATCAAATGTTATTTTCAGATTTTGAAAGGATTAATTTGCTGAGTCAAGAAGAGATAAGGAAACTCAGAAGGTTGTCGTGCCTTGAAAGCTGGAGAAGAAGATCATGTGAGAGTGGAAATATTTTGAATGGTGAATTGATGAAAGGAGGAAAATTTCAGTTAATTAAAGGAGATGATATTAAAAAAGGAAAAAGAACCATTTACCAAAAAGTATCTAATTTATACACAAATTGCAACACATTGAAAGATGAGAAATAGTCAAATTATTATTTAATGGAGACGAGAAGAAATATTAACAAAGAGATGAGAAATAGTCTAATTTTCCGTAAGAAAATCCAATAATTTTTTATGAATCAACATCCAGAGTTTATTTCCAAGAAAATCCATGAAGAACATGAAAAAAGTTGATTTGATTCATAAAAAATGCGCATAGTTTTGTCGGATGGATATGTCACAGGACGAGCTGACCTGTAGACTCATTTTTTGCTGGGTTTTCTGTTTGGGGCGCCGAGCCGGGCTCTTTTCTGGGGAGAATTGAGATGCTTTGCAGAGATGGAATAAAGGAAAAACTATGCAGAAACTCGTGTTTGTCAATCCATTTAATCTCCGGCTTATCTGCGCTTTCTCTCGCTGGCCTTTTTGGTCCTTTTCGGGCCCTTCACGAAGCACCAATCGACAGAGATGATCTGCCCCAAGATTTCGGCACCGTTGAGGGCCTCCTTGGCTGCGAGAGCTTGCTTGAAGGTCTCATACTCCACCAAAGCGTATCCCTTGAGAAATCCCGTGCGACGATCGAGATTCAGGTGAATGTTCTTGATGTCTCCGTATTCGATGAACTTCTCCTGAATATCATCCTCCTGCGCCTCCTCGTGAATCGACGTGACGAAGAGGATCCAACCCTCGACAGCTACAATATATAATAATTAGCTTTCGGTGCCCAGAAGTGTCCTGAAAGCACAGGAAACTCACATCTCTGTGGTCCCGGATCCAACTCATCATCATCCTCTATCCGGACGCTTTCATAATCATGAATTGGCTGTCGCGAAGAACTCTCATTGCCAAATCCACGTCCCTTCCGCTTCCGTGCCTTCTCCTTGAGCCGCACAATTCCCTCTGGAGCCCCAAAAAGCACATTCAAGAAAGAAAAACAATCACATTGAGGTTGGAATTCTTAAGAATCGAATAATTGCAAACTCACGGTCTCCATCATCGTCCTCGAAGTCCTCAGCGTTGTCAATGTCCAGCACATCAGCCATGATGAGAGCTTTCCCAGATTTTTCACTTGCAAATAGGAGAATTAAGGGATTTTCACAATTTGCCCGTGTTTGTTGTGCGGCTGACTGACGCTCTCTGTCGACTACAGCGCCACATGTGACTGGGATGTAAAACTCAGTGCTTTCAAATTTATCCGCTCTATAATTATCTGAAAATATTTTCATTACAAATACCCAGAATGCTAATATCCTTGAATCCTTGCACTTGAGATGGACAGAAGACAGTCTGCAAACTATTTACAGCAACGTATTCCAAGAGATATTCGAACTAGCTCAGGAAAAGTGCCCATAATTCCTAGTCCTTCATAGTTGTCAGGACGACTCCCACCAAAAGGGCTGTTATGGTAAATCCTTGGGCTATCACTCGAGTCCTCATCATGATCTGGGCCGTTTTTTTGTCGCCACGACGGAAACTGTACAGGCCAAGTCCGAGGGCGGTCAGAGTGACCGCGCAACCTATGACGAAGAGAGGGAATGAGAGAAATTGTTCATAGAGGCTGTCAAGGCGATTTACCCATGGGAACTAGAGGATTTTCTCTGGTCTTCCTCTTCATTTTCTCCAATACCGTCTCGCCAGCGATGGGAGCAGTAGCAAAATCCTTCTTCAGCTGAAGCCATTGCAGTTCCGCCTGTTGCTGCTCCCTCTTCTCCTGATCAGTCATTTCTTTTCCACTTAAATGCTGCTGTATTTGTGCTGGAAAACTCACGGAAAATATGCGCTGTTTTTGGTTGCCCGGAAAAATGTCAAGGAGTGACAACTCAAAAATTCCCCACCAAAACAAAGCCAACTTCACAGCAGATTCACGTATGGCAAACCGAGTGGAGACGCCATAAAGATTGTTGGCTGAATTTCTGCAATTTTACCCTGGAAATTGTGCAAGAAATGGCTCGTGTGTAACCGGAAGCGGTGGCGGAGACCCCAGTGAAGTGATTGTGAGTGTTTTTGCGGGTGTGGAAGTGCTGGAGGGTGGACAAAAGTGGAATTAGAGCAGATTCTATCTTCCCTCTTGTCATCCATTTCTCCCCCCCATTTTTTGTGATTACTCACACACACCCACAGGAGGCGCTTTTTCTCCTGCATATTTAAACATCTTGCGTCTCTGTCGCGCCCACTGGTCCAACTCTTTCCTGCACCCTTGGCCCCTCTGCCGGGATGAAATGTAAACAAATGCAGCTCTTCCGGATTCCTCGCTGACCCTCTCTCTCTCTCGCCCACAGCAGACGCTAAGTGCAAGCAAGTGCAGCGAGAGCGAGACAGAGCATGAGCTTCAATCCGAAGCCACTACAGGTGCCGGTGGACGGACAGCCGGCAAGGCAGAATCCACCCGTTCAGCCGCCGCCTTCGCAGGCGCCCAAGGTGCCGCCCCAGGCGGCTCCCCAGATTCAGGTGGCCAACAACTTCCACGCGCAGCTTCATCTGCAGCAGCAGATGTCATCCTTTCAGCAGCCTCAGGCGCTCCTGTTCCCACAGCAGCCGGCGGCCAATCCAACGTCGGAACCACTGGAGCTCACGCGTGTCGTGACAGAAGCGGCAGCCAAGCAGGCCAACGGAAACGTGTCGGTTACGCCCCAGGCGGCGTCTCACGGACCCACAGCGGCTCATCAAATCCACACGGTATGCAAAGGAATCTTTTCTGAATCGACGAGGAATGTTATTTATGATTTTCCTTTATTTAATAATCAAACTCGACAATTCGTTTCAAATTTCGTATCCTTTTTAAGCAGTAGTTGAAGTGATTTGAGACCTTTTCCATAACATTGGCAATGCATAAACATTGAATGGGCGCTGATCTTTCGAGCCATGATTAAAATTTGCTGAACAAGCCAGGCAGTAGATGTGAGGAAGCCAATTCTTATCTTGATTGCCCATTCCGCGGCCGGAGATCGCCTTTTGGGACTTTCTTGTCTCGATGAAACTCCTATTCAAGAATATAATCACAGTTTCACATTCAAGAATAGAAAAAAAGAATATTTACGAACCATTTTTGGGATTTCGGTGTATATTTGCCACAAATGTAGCAAAAGGAATCCACAGAAGTCACAGAAACGCGCTTTACTTTGAGCATCGTGAGAGCTTCACAAAAACACAACTGACTTATTTAAATGCTCGTCTTGAAATGAAGAAAAGTCTACTGTGCAATTTCTTATCTGCTTGAGTAGTTCAGGAGTGAGAAGGACTGCCGAGAACAAGAATGGGATATAATGATCTACGCAAGTGATCAAATGGCCTGTCTCGTCTGCCGCATTAAACTTGGATTTGTCTAATCTCTCTTCTCTCTCTCTCTCTCTTTCAGACTTCTCTCAAACTGACGTACAAACCGGCGACCACGAGTCAGCCGCCGGCGCACATGTCATCCCAGCCGACTAGCATCCAGCAACAACACCACACGGCGTCCGTGGCCACGGCTTCGCAAGCCCAGGTGCAGCACACGCCGCAGCAGCAGCCGACAACGAGCCAGCAGAAGGTGCCATCACCGCAAAAGGCTGCTCCGCCCCCGCTGACGCGCGCCCCGGTGGCTGTGGCCACCACTACGGCGGCTCAGAGTCAGTTGCAGGCCAACAACAACGTCCCGAAGGCTCCGTCGCCGACGACGCCGCAGAAGAGCACTCCGGCCGCGAGTCAGCCTCCAAAGTTGGCCACTGTCGTTACACCGTCGAAGACGACGATGAAACTGGCCACAGTGACGACGCCGAGGATCAAACAGACGGCCAGGAAGAATCAGGCGGCTCTGTCAAGGCCGCAGAGTAACTTTGCCGCTGCTGCAGAAGCGGCTGCAGCGACAAAGCCGTCGACTTCAGCCCCAGTTGTGGCTGAGGTGGTGACGAAGACGGCAGTGGCCAAGACAGCGCCTCCACAAGTGGTGGAGAAGGAGAAGAAGGAGGAGAAGCCCAAGGCGGAAAGCGTGAAGGTGGCACAACAGCCGCTCAAGAAGGAGAAACCCACGCCGGCGGCGAAGACACCGAAGCACGACGTCACAGATGGGGGCTCGTCGCGGGGCGTGAAGAGAAGCCGCACCCGCACCGTGCCGTATCAGAGTCCGCTGCCTGAGTACGCGATGCTGACGAAGTTGTCGTACGCCGAGAGCAGTTCCAGTGGCAGCAAGAGTGGCGAGGATAAGCTGGTGTTGTTCTACAAGAGTGAATTCATGGCGGTGCGCAATGCCGAGGGTGGATTCTTTCTCTGTCAGGCGCAGCATAATGTGTACAAATCATCGCCGCGCATTCGGATTCAGTGGTTGTCGGAGGAGAAGATCAACTCTCCCATGTACATTCCCGATTTCTACGATGTCACCGATCTGGAGTGTGTGCTGACGAGTGTGGAGATGGAGAAGAAGACGAAGAAGCTGTACAAGTTGCCAGAGGGCGAATTGGAGAGGATACAGAACATCCTGAAGAAGGCGATTGATGTGGAGAAGGGCATTCTGCCGCGACCGGATGTCACTGAGGAGAATCCCGATGGATGTGAGTCGATGATTTATCATCTCTCTAATGCAGTGTGTGTCATGATTTCATGTGCGACTCTTTTTCAGTGGATCTATCACTGTACAAGGATGAATCCCAGCTGGACAGGTCGCCGAAGAAGCGTGCATCGAGTGATGCAGGTTCACCAAAACGCGTCAAGAGGACCAAAGCTGATGCGACCCCAAAGAGGAAGTCAACACGCACCAAGTCGCCGCGGAAGAACTTTGCCGAGTCGGACTTTGAGACATCAGACGAGGAGGAGCCGCCAAAGATGGCCCAGAGAGTGGGCAGACCACTTATTTCCAAGGCACCTCCCGTCACTGTGACTCCGGCAAAGGTGAAAAAATGTGGAAAATAACTGGTTTTTCCATCGAAACAACGCCTAATCGTGTGATGTGCTTTTGTAGGCGCCGGTAAAGAGCAAAGCGACGCCACAGAAGCAGCAAGTTGTCGTCACGGAAGTTGTGGTTGAGGCGCGCGGTCGGAAGAGAAAAGCAGATATTCAGGATTCATTGGCTGCGACACCGGCCAAGAAGACTTCCGTTCAGATGCTTCCGGACACTCCGGCAGCGGCGGCGGGAGCGAAAGCGAGTCCAGTGAAGAAATCTCCAGTTGCTCAGAGTACAAAGAAGCCTCCGGGAAAGGGAAAGAGTGAGTTGAAGGAGCCATGAGATGCTTGGGAGTGTTTTGACGGCGTATTGTCTTTGCAGAGGCTGAACCAGTGCCGGAGGTGAGCAAGAAGGCCACTCCGACGTCTCAGAAGACGACGCCAAAGGCCAAGGTTGCGAAGGCGCAAGACTCGGCCAAGGAAGCAGCAGGTGGTCGAGTAACAAGGGCCAGAAAGTAGGTCATCATCATCTTTCTATAGATAAGAGAGAGAGTCACACACAAACACCCACAAACTGGGCCAAAAAGGGTGAGAAGAGAGTGAGAGAAGTGTGGCCTCATGTTGGCCACTCAAATGCTGGTTGGTGTGAATTTTAGCATTTTTCTTCAAAATCCTATTATGGTTTTTTAGAATGCGTGACATTTTAACACACTGACAAAAGGGGATTTGGTTGAATGGTACAAAAGAAAAGCAGCGCAACATGGAAGAGGAGAGATATAATCAAAGGGAAAGGAAGTTTCTCTTTTGGAAATCTTTTCGCTTTAAGATTTTTTTCTTAAAGGATTTATGAGTATTATCGATGGTTTTTTTGTATTCATGACATTTAAGAATACACTTTAGTAATTCTAGATGCAAATAAATGATAATTTATAGTAACAGAGCAATTTTTCCTGCACTAAAATCGCTATTTGTCCGTTTTCTCGGTGAATTTGGCATGCTTGAAATTTTTATCTTTAACTTTGAGTTGATGCACACTCTGATTTTACGCACTTGTATTTGATAATTTATCAAACGCTGATAGAACATTGATAGAAGATGACAAATAATCAAGTAAAAAGTCTTGAAGCGAAAAGATGGTGAAATTTACCGATTTGTTTACAACACAAAAGTGTAATTTCACATGATTGGCATTATGATTGCGAGACAGAAACCTGGAGCGACAGGTGCAATTATCAAGAGTGGGTTCGATTTGCAATATTGACGAGGTTTTGTGTAGATGATGATCATATAAAATTTGTATTTCACTACCAATTTTTATATTTAAGGGTATATAATTATTAATATATTTGTGTAACTCCTTTTGCCTCAGCACGAAAGTGTCTCTATAGACTTAAAAGTTTAATTCTTTAGGCAGGATTTTCTTTATCCTTTCTTGACACACACACTCACACACAGACACGAAAGAACACACACACGCGAAGTAATATTGATATGATAGGAAGTATGTTAGATGAATTTCCTTTTGCCAAGCATCACACGTGGTTGTTAAGTGAAAGTGAATCGAGAGGAGGAGGCAGAAAATGCGTAGATATAGTGAAAAATTATACTAAATGTAGGTTTCTGACGTGGGCGTGAGTTAGACAGTAAATTAATATATTTAGAGAAGTAAGTGAACTAACACAGAAACTCACAACACATAAGGACACATTTACACAGTGAAAATATCCGTTGTATGATTTATTTATCATGTTTTTTTTTTCTTCACAAATCAAAACTGAACAAAAAATTTCAATGCATAGTACATTTTGAGGGGGAGAGAAAAGAAGTGGTGGACAATGAAGGGAAGTAGCAAAATTGCAGGGGAAGAGCTTCGGATGTTTAGGACAAAAAAAAAGAAGAATCACTTTAAAGAAGAAAAATCTCGTTATTAAGAATTTTATGTAAAAGGCAGTGAAAAAATGAGAATGAAATTGCAAAGTGAGCAGATGTGTGTTAGAACTTCCGTCGCTTGATGATGTCCGGACGCCAGACGATCGGATGCGACTCCTCGGTGGCCTCGTCGTCCTCGCGGTAGACCTTGATGGTCTTGTCTGCCTCGGCGGTAATCAGGCGCGAGCCGGATTGGTCGAAGGTCATGGCAAAGATACCCGCTTCGCTGTCCATGGAGCCTGGCTGGACTGGTGCCTGAGCGCGCTGGAAGTTGTAGCCCGTTCGCCAGTCCCAGAAGTGCACAGTGCCATTGTCTCCGCCGGACACTAGGACGCCTTCGGGATTCACTGCCATGCAGTTGATGATGGCCGAGTGACCGGTGAGATTCTGGATGAAGTTGCCTTCCGGGCAGCGCCACTGCTTGATGTTGTCGCTGGACGCAGACGCGAACATGTAGAGCGTGGGGTGGATCACCACACTCCGGACACTCTTTTTGTGGTTCGTCAGTGTGCAGACGCTCCGGCCGGCTGCCAAATCCCAGAGTCGAATAGTCGAGTCGTGGCTCCCAGTGATGATCTGCGGATTTGCTGTCTGGGCCACCACGCTGGCGATGGTGTTTGTGTGCCCAGTGAGCGTGTGGATGTTGGCCTTCGTTCGCATGTCCCAGATTCGGGCCGTGGAGTCTCGGCCGGCAGTCGCGAGGACGTCAATGGTGGGATGCAAAGCCATCGAATACACGGCCGACAAGTGGCCATGGTAGTGCCGGATGACTTTGTTGTACTCCAAGTCCCAACACTTCACTTGTCTATCCTCGCCGCAGCTGAACAGGTAGGGATGTCGGCTACTCACGGCCAGGCCGCGAACGGTGCTCACGTGGCCAGTCAGAGACAGCTTTAACTTACCGCTAGCCAAGTCCCAGATCTTAATCACACGATCTGCGGCTCCTGTGGCGAACCACTCATTCCCAGGCTCTACTGCCACACAACGCACCCAACCCAGATGTCCCGAGATCACGCGATAGAGCTTCCAGGGCGGATGCCACTTAGGCTTGGGTATCGTGGGCGCCTTCTTGGGAATCAACTGTACTTGTCCACCCGGGGGCTGCGAGAAAGGAGTACTCTGGGCCACAGGCACCAGCGCTGAGCTGTGCGAAGTGTTCATGGGGGCTGCAGTGATGGCCAGAGGCTCTTCCGGGTGATTCTGATGCGTCCCATTATCAACATGATTGGCTTTTTGCGCTTTAGTCACCTGCACCCGGTCAAATACCAATCCATAGCCGTCTCTGGACTTCACTGCCCGGCGAATTTTCTCGCTGAAACGATGGAAAGTGGAGAAAATCAGGAAAACGTTTGCAAATTGAGGTTGTATTGGACTTACGCTGTGTCGTCTTTGAGAACCGGCAGAAAAGTCTGGTTGGCGAGGAACATATCGTGTGTGCGCTTCAATGAGCGAAACACCAAAGTGTGGACAGAGTGTTTCTGCACCTCTTCCACCATTTTCACGAGAGAAAGAGTAGAATACCAAGAAGAATCCACTAAAACCTCAGCTTGTTTATCTGATAAGATGTGTACTCTTTGCAGACTATAGAACTGGCATGCCAGCATGACAATTTCCCCACCAAGGTGAATTGGTGAATCTCACTATGACTCACCACTCCTTTTGTACGCGAAAAATTTCCGGATATAGAAAAAAATAACTTTATTTCGCACGCAAACGTGTTATGAATAGTAATAATTTGAGAGTATGCTATGATAAGTTCTACTGCTACACGTTGATAACGCTCCGTTCCACGGCAAAGTCATAATCACCTTTTTGGTTGTTTCGCGAGAAAATTTCCAGGAAGTCGTAAAGCATGATTTTAGTCACTTCCGTTTTGTCAGATGTATTGAGTTGATCAGATAGCTTAAAGGGGACCCCCTGGAGGGCGTTGTATGGCTGCTGTGGCTGATTTGTTGCTATTTGCGGTGGAAAGTTCGAAGGAAGACCAGCATAAGGCGGCATTCCTGGGCCCAGTGATGGATAAACCCCAGGTTGTGGATTTGCTGGCTTTGGATCCACCATCACGAAGTCATCTGGTTTGCCCTGAGGAGGATTAGCTGGAGGAATCGGCTCCTCAGGGCTCGATTTCTTGCTCTTGAAGAAAGAGAACATTTCTGAGGACAGGCGAGATTACGGCTTCGAGAAAAGGCGCTGCAAGTAAAACGCTTAATTAGCCACTTATGTACCACTCACTGATAAGAACAAGCAACAGAAAAGGGAAAGAACCTTTGTGGAAAGCGTGAAAAGTGAAAACTGCGGAATATAATGAGCAATTGATTGATTAAACTATCAGTGTTGCCCGATGCAATGTTTATTTCCTCTTGTGGTGAATTCGCAGGAACCCCTCAGCAACAGTGGCGCCGTGAGTGGGCAGACGGTGGAGATTGGAGTGTGTGTTTTTGTGACAGTGAAAAACAAAAATGATGTGTCTCGTGAAAATGTGAGATAAAGCGCGGAAAATCTCGCGAAAGTGGTCCAAAAAGGTGCTCAAATTGTTCATGACCGTCCTCTAAACACGTTGACAACGTGAATCAGGCGGCAATAGCGGTAGATTGCGCAGAAGAGCGGGACAAAGTTTTCCTCACACAACAGTCGAAAGGAAGGGAGAAGAGCTGAGCTGTGGAGGAATCCCAAGAAGGTGGGTTTTCCAATTCCGTGGAGAAAATATTGCGTTTGATTTTTCACATGGTCATTTGTTTTGGCACTCAACTTGTCGTGTGTCCGCTTCATTTCACATTTAATTGATTTTTTCGCTCGACTGAGTAACAATTTTGTCGTTGCCTTTGGGGAAAAGGGCAATTTTCTCACTTCTTGGGGATGAACAGTCACTTGTCGTCAGCTGGAGGATTCTTTGGTGATCGTGGAGTTCAAGAAGGACGGCAGGCGATGAGTGACATGGGTAAAGAGACGGAATAAGAGTGAAGAAGCGAATAAGAAAGTGCGATGACCTAAAAGTAATTGAGCTTCCTCAATTCTTGTATTTTGCAGCTCACGTTTGGCACTTGAATCCCATCCATGAGAAGAGGGTGTGTGGATCAATGGCGAGCCCAGAGAGACGCTTAGCGCCACACGGTGAGTCCTCAATTCCATTCCTCTGACTCGTTTTCGAAGCTCGATTGGCGGAACAATATTGCAATGCACAGATTCTGAGTTTTGTTCTGAAGGGTCAACGACGAACTGAAAATCCTGGGACATCAAAGAAAAGCTCAAGGATAATAAATTACAGAATGATGAAGGGATAGGAATAAATCAATTGGGTTAATTCAGAAATTCCGATGACTTTGAAAGCCTTATAATATTTGTGATATAGATAAATTAATTATTTATTCAAATGTTGCGTCAATAAACATTAAAAGTAGAAAAATTTGAGTCCATATTCACTAAAATCTCACTATAAAAACACCTCCAAACACAATTCGATTAAGAGAATCTTTTTTATAAAGGTCATTAAGTGTGTGAAAAGCTGTTTTATGGGCAGTCAGAATGAATTAAAAATTGAGCGGATCTTCTCGGAAAAATTCCAGCTGAAATATGGAGCACTTTGCAAAGTTCTGCGCCCAATGCAGTGCTCTCCGACCCGTTTCATCGATTTACGCAGCATTTGCTCTCTCCCAGGAGTATTGATGAATTTTTCCGGGAAAAATGAGGGAGAAATTTTCATGGTCACGAAAATGTCTCTGCGCCTCTCTTTGGGGGCCTGCAAGTAAGGTGGGGGATCAAGTGAGACAGATTTGCCTCAAGTGTTGCCCTTCGGCAACAATTGAGGCTTACACGAAAAATCCTAATAAATTCCTTGGCAAACGGCAAAAGGAATTCCGGTTCTCCGTAAATCACAATAAATTATTCCTTATGTATTCCTCCTCATGGAATTTCTCAAGACAGAGAGAGAGAGTGAGTGAGTTTGTGTGCTGAGGGAAAAACCACTTCGATCCACTCTTTTTTCCTCTGTATGAATTTTAAAATGCCCACCAAGAGTATGTGGTCAAGTTCATTTCGCAAAAGTGTGCCTCTTTTTGCCAACCATCAATTGGGAAAATTGCTAGGCGGAGATATGAGAAAAGAGAGCTCTGGAGGAGCTGGGAAATGTGGACGTGTATGTTTGTTTTTAGCGGGAAAATATGTTGAAGACTTGCCAGGAAAAAGAATTTTCCAAGAGTGATTTTTTATGTCAATATTTTCGCACTTAAATATTGCATGACGGTGAGTTTATTATGTGTGTTTTTACCGCCACTTTCTTGTGTATGTAAATTATACGGATGATTGATTCCAGTTAAAATTAGTGTCATCTTGACAACTGTCACGGTAACAATTAATGTTGATATTGAAAAATAAAATTCATTGCCTTCGATATGTAAGTTGAAGGTAAACGAAGGGAAAAGTGACTACGAGTTAATGAATTTTTCAAATACATTTTGAGAAACAATTGTCTGGGAAAGATAGCAAGTGTCTCTTTTTTTCCTCTATTGTTGGTGGGAATATACGCGAGGGCGATAATTGAGTATTTGTGTGTTCTTTTTCCCTTGCGCTGAAAAAAGGGAAATTCAATAAATTTCGAAAAGAAAGAGAGCGAGAAAGAGCGAAAATACACTGGTACTGAACAATAATTTGTTGCCTTTTCTTTATGTGCTCAACACAGGCTGATTTTTTCCGCTGTGGGGGTGGGGAAGGGTGGGAAAATGTGTGTACGTGTGTGTGTGTGTGTATATAGTGCCCAATTTATTTTCCCTCTGCCACATGCTCCGCTTTTCCTCCCATCCACTTTTCCGTTCATCGATTCGTGGATATTTTTAGATGCGGCAAACTAATACACAACACATTATATCTCAAAGTATTTTCTCTTTTGGCTGGCTTTTCTCTCCATCCTCGGGTTGGCGGGCGTTATATACAAAATTCTCAAGGTCTCCTCTCACACCACGACTCCTGAGCGAGCCCAGAAACACCACGATATCCGTGTTGAGCCTCCCCGCACGCCCCACAAATCACCCAATCCATCCAGACGAACTCCTGCCGGGTGGATTGCTCTCCCTCTCGCACTCGGCATTGTTGACGCCCCACATCCGTCGTGCCTTCACGTGTCATCAATGCACGGGGGAGCTTCGTGCCGGAGGATTTCCCATGGAAATCCATCTATATTTAACTCATGCGGGTTGGGGATTTCCCGGGGATTTTTTTTTTCAATAGCGACTTTTCAAGGAAGCACAATAATTTGCCTTCTGCGAAGGACTTTTCATGGAATACCGATGGTGAGAGAGGCAATTTTGATGATTGGAATTTCTGAAGACGCTTGAAATCGGAAGATGAGGGTGAATTTAGTAAGAAAGTCACTCTATTAAAGGTTTAATTTAGGGTGGAAATTATGATTTGACCTTTGGAAATATGTCTTTAGCGGATGAACAGAAAAAAATGGGTGGAGCATTCTCAAAGGCGGAGCATTTATTCAATTTGATTAACAGTCATTATTGTTGCAAGTGAAGCATAGCTCCTAAATCATCACTCATTCATTGATCATTGATTTTAAATCCATACAGTCTATAAATTAGGGTGAATTTCTGTTCACATGCAATCTATTACTTTTGATTGCGTTCTCCACTTCTTTAATATTTGAAATATAGCTAAATAACTGCGTAATCTGCGAAAGTCTACGCAGCGAATGTGTCAAAAATTCACGTGTGAGAGTTTCCAAGGATCATCTCTAATGTATGAATCGTGGGAGGCTTTGTCGGGGCGGAGGAGTGGGAAAATGTACACAGAAAATGACTGGCAAGTCATTTTCTCTCTCGTTGCTAGAAAACTCGCACACACACAGAGATTTATTTTATGTTGATGGTGATATTTTGGGTTTTGGGTGGCGGGAAATGGCAGGAAAAAGTATAAACAACACCCACTTTGTCTCCCACCCCTCGTCAACTCCACGTGGGCCCCGAAACTACAATATTACATATAATGAGAACTTTATTATCCATCAGCATAATATGTCTTAAATATTGTGTTATTTGTGGCATATTGGTTGAGTTTTGGGCATGAGGAGGAAGTGTGATGTTGCCGAAGCAGACATGCGGAGGGATTTTCTTTGAGAATTACTCTGTCTCTGTGTTCTCACTTGTCTTTTCCCAATTCGGTTTCGCTAGGGAAAGAGAGAGGAGAGAGAGAGGGTGTGCGGTGGGGTTGCGAGGCTAGGAAAGCACACAACAGGAAGTTCTGGGGAAATGTATCGAGCTGCTGGTGTGTGCCTGATGACATTGACAAAAGGACATCAAGGGAATGTCTTCAATGTCAAAAAGAGTAACACAACACAATAATCTTTTCCCTTATTCCAATCGTCCTTTCTTCACAATTCTTCTCTTCTTATGTTGAGTAAATAATTTATTTCTCTTATTTTTCAATATAACGCACATTTTCGCAATATATTGACAGGGCTGAGGGCGAAGTCAAGTCCCAAAGCGCCCAAGGCTGAAGGCAGGGGATTTGAGAGGAAGGGGGTGGAGGAGGAGGAGAGAAATGCTTGTGGATTATTTTCTTGGAGATGGGAACAAGAGATGAGATTGCCATCAATTTCTTCATCCGCCTTTCCATCCATCTTCCGTCAACCCGTGGCAATTTATCTGTGGCACTGGAGATGGGAAAATTGAAAACAATACCCTTTCCTGCGAAGGGACACAGATAGGGTGAAAATTCAATTTATCCGCTCTGTGTCAATTGACACACTTAACAAGTGGCTTCTTATCGATAATCACATGCGGAGGAATTGAGATGCGTCTCACCTTGAAACATATTTTCGGGTGGCGATTGATTAAGTGATTCTCCGTGATACTTTCGGCCACAATAAAGTTCCCGTGTAGTGGCCAATCAGAGTTGAGGAATTCTGCAGATAAGATTCGCGGATTTTGTGGCAACTTGGTGGTTTATTTTCGGAGTGTGCGTGATGTTAGAGGGCTTATTTTTTTGAAAGCTTACGTGTTTAGAAGCTATGATTATGATAAGGCACAATTGTACATATCTTACTTTGGGAGCAAGTGGAAAGATATTGAAAAAATTAAAATTTCTTCATCATCCTTATAATTAGGAATACATTTTTATTTATTTTTTAAGTAGAATTGGCAAAAAATAGGTTGAAATTGTATAAACATTGAAAATAAAATTGCTCTTGACATTTATTAACACACAAGAATCTTATTGATCTATCAACAATAACAGTTGATTGAAAGCTTTGCTCATTTTCTGAAGGATTAACTTTTATCCTTATTCGCTGACCTCTTTTATCTATAACTCGTGATCCACTGACAACTCTGTCCACAAGAATGTTTCATGCGCGTGTGAATATGAAA